GAGGAGGTCGCTTCACTCTGACTGAACGTTGCTCTGAACAAACCCAAGCGGGTTCAGAACCAGCAGAACTCGAAATCTGTTCAGATCCTTTGAGGAAATGTTCTGTTGCAGCTCAGGACCAACAAACCCACGGGCCGGAGCTGGTTCTGAGCCCGGCGGTACATCTTCAATAAATTATCAAATAAAAACATGTTCTGTGGCAGCTGCACTCAGGTGCAAATCACTCCCTCCCCTCCCTCCTGAGGCTCATCAGCGTCTCAGCTGTTTGAAAAGTCTGAATTTAAAAACTTCAACGACGAAAAGAGAAACATTAAAAAAAAAATCCATTTCTCTTTTTTAAACCTCAGGATTTTGTTTGTAGTGATTTTTTTCTGTTTAACTCGAGTTGTTTCAAAGCAGCTTGATGCAAATTAATTAATTGATTTACTGTAAAAACAACTTTTTAAACTTTAAGGTGCTTTCTCTGGTTGGTTTTACTTATTTTGAGTAAAGTTGCCAGATGTTGGTCCAAGTCTTCTTTCAGGAGGCCACAGTGATCTGAGTCACATGAACACCTGGTTTTTACTCCAGATGTTCTTCCTGACACTGAGCTGCCTCAGCCTCTGAGCAGAGCAGAGAGCTGCCATCAGGGGCGCCCAGGGGAGCAGATGGTGGGGGTTAAGGGCCTTGCTCAAGGGCTTAGTGTGGGGCAAATGGGGGTGGAGGCAGTGGGTGCTTCACCTTTCCCACCCACATTTAGATTTTTGTACTGGGAGTTGAACCAGCAATCTTCCGATTACAGGCTCACCCTCTCTGACCTCTGCGCCACCACTCCCCTCTTACCAAAATGAACACTGGAAACGTTTCTTTTTTATCTTTAAATAATTTATTTGCACTCCCTCCACAGTTTTGTATTTTATTCTGCTTCTTTTATTTACAGAAACCTTTGAAGCGCTTTGTGTTTTATTATTTTAACTGAACTACAAAAGGTTTTATTTGTAGTTCTCAGTTTGTGCCTTTTTGAGTCGTCCTTCAA